GCCGACGGCCGTGTAGATGGCGTCGGCCGCGTGGCGCCGCGCGAGCGCGTCCAAAAGCGGCGCCTCGCTGAGGTTGTTGACGCGCATGAGGTCGTCGACGGGCACGAGGTGGCTCGGGTCGAAGTCGCGCACGTCCTTGCGCCGGAAGCGCTGGGGGTTGCCGTCGAGGCCCGCCACCTCGATCTCCAGCTCCTCGCCGGGGCGCACGAGGGCCGTCGCGAGGCGCCAGACGTCGCGCTTGCAGGGCACCCAGACCCGCTCCTCGAGGGCGTGCGTCGCCGCGTCGGGGCCGACGGCGTCGATGACGACGTCGGCGAGGGCCGCGGGCGCGTCGTCCGCCATATTCGTTCTGTGGCTGCCCGCCTCTGTAGACAGTTTCTATAGACAGTTCCAAAAAGCCGGCATCTTGAAGGTGCCGAAAAGGACTGCCCACGCAATGAAATGCTTCTCTCTCTGAGCTGGGCCACGGCGCCGCTCCCTTCGAGGCGCCACTAAGCACCATGTGGGCCGTGGACGCGCGGTCCGGGAGCAACGGTCCCAGCGCCGTCGCGACGCTGACGCCCATCGCGCTCCACTCCCTGCGCGCCCTCACCAAGTCGGCGCACATCTACGAGCAGCTGCGGCACGACGACTGGGTCGAGCGGCGCGCGGGCGCCGCGGCCGTCGGCGACATGGACGTGGGCTGGGAGGCCGCCGCGCTGCTGCCCGTCGTCGCGCGCCTCGCGCGGGCCGACGTCGACGCGCGCGTGCGCCGCAAGTGCGTCATGGTCCTCGCGGCCTGGGGCGAGCTCGCCGGCGAGCACGTCGACGCCGTCTGCGGCGTGCTGCGCGGCGACGAGGACTTTGACGCCGACGGCGACGCGCAGATCCGCTGGGAGGCGGCCATCGCTCTACCGAAAGTTGTGGGCGCGCATGCGCTCCACGAGGCGCTAAACGGAGACGAGGAAAACACGTCGACGCCGTCGGCGCTCGCGGCCGCCGCCGCGCTCCTCGCGGCGCGCAGAGACGACGCGGACCGCGACGTCCGGTCCAAGGCCGCCGAGGTCATCGACCGGACGAAGGACGACTACGTGAGGCTGACCGCGAAGCGCGACCGGACCGTGACGCGCCGGAGGTCGGACGCCGAGTACTGCGACTCCGGGGACCACCCCCTGCTGGCCATCATGGAGGAGTGGGCCAAGCGGGCGTACCGGCGCATGGTGCCGTCGAAGCGGGCCCTGAGCCTCCGCGTCGCCGGCTACGTCGCCGCGGCCGCGGGCGCGGGCGCGGACGTCGTCCGGCGCGTCCTGGACCGCGAGCCCGGCGTCGCGCGCGAGGCCGACGTGCTGTCGAAAGAGCGGCGGACCATGCTCCACGCGGCGGCCGCCGCGGGCAACGGCGCGGCGCTCGCGCCCCTGCTCCGGGCCGGCGCGGACCCCGGCGCGGCCGACGGCCACGGCGCGACGGCCCTGCACCTCGCGAGCCGCTGGGGGCGCGCGGCGTGCGTCGCGGCCCTCGCGCCGGCCCGCGCGGCCCCGGGCGCGGCGACGCGGGCCGTCCACGCGCGCGACGGTTTTGGGGTGCTGCCGCTCCACGAGGCCGCGCGCTACGGCCACGCGGCCGCCGTCGCCGCGTTGCTCGCCGCCGGCGCGGACCCGCTGCTCCGCGACGGCCGCGCGGCGCGGACGCCGCGCGACGTCGCGCGCGCGTTCCAGTTCCCGGAC